GGGATTTGATCCCATGACCTTCTGGCTTGTAGCATAGTGCCTCAACCATGTACCACATGCCCCCATGTTTTCATCATAGGAAAGAAAAACCATAAGTCAAATATGTATATTATGTGTGTGTGTTCATGTGTGCGTCAACTACAGGTCAGCAGATTGAAATATTACAACTTACAGCTGATGATAATAATAACATCTTTCTGTCCTACTCTTTGACTAACCACAGTTACCATGTCATCAGATTATAATTATGTTATCAGACCTAATAGCATCTGTGAAATTTGATGCATGGAAATACTGGTGGCAGTTTCAGTCAACTTCTGTGTAAGTTGATATATGGCTACATTGGTCAACAGTTTCAGTTGAACTGATCCCCTCTTGTTTCCTGCCTCACTAGTTTTTGACCAAAGCTAACTGTCAAACATGACAATGTGTTATAGTAAGCTCAAAATTTTATTGTCTGCATATGTGATTTTGCAGAATTAATCAAGAGTAGCACCCACTAAATACACTGATATCTATTGCAATTATGGATTCTGTGATGGCAGCAGCAGAGAGGAGGTTGGGCAATATTGAAGATATTTTACAAACTGCAAAATCCCAAGCAAACAAGTGTTTAATAACACACATCATAGATTACAGGGAAAGGGCAGGCATTCCACATAACAGAAACATGCAACAGGATAGCCCACTACTGTGGAAGAGTGCACACTGGTCTTAGTACAATGTAGCCTGACAATCAGTATTTGAAGAATTTGTAGTTAACTTGGTGAATCTGAACTGGGGGTATGTCAAATAACACAATAAAAATTTGTGTCCTTATTTGCAGCAGTCCATGCCCCTGATCCAGGCAATTATAGTATCACCTTATAGTATCAATATATTTAAACTACAAAAAAAGGCCATAACAATTATTACAAATTCCAGAAATAGGGATTCCTGTAGGGAGTTGTTTAAGAAACTAGATATATTACCGTTTTATTCTTAGTATATATTTTCATTACTAATTTTTGTAATTGATAATATTTCCTTTTTTAAAACAAATTCAGAGTTATGTGATATCAACACCAGAGGTAAAAATAATTTTTACCCTTCACAACCAAGGTTGTCTGTCTATAAAAATGGTGTTTATTATATGGGTATAAAGGCATTTAATCACTTACCTCTTTGCATAAAAAAATTGACTGATGATAAGAATCAATTTAAAAATACTCTAAAAAATTACTTTCTATTGAATTCTTTTTATTCACTGAATGATTTTTTTAATAATATTTACTAATTTTAATGTGAATTTTTAAGATTTTATGTATCATAGGTGACTTATTTTCGCATAAATATGTTATCATCTACCTTTTGGTATGATGATTTTTTACAATATTAAATTTAAGATGTTATGTTTAATGTTAAAGTAAGAAGATAAGCATTTTGGTTTATTGGTTTATTGTTTGATCTGACCTATGCTTTTTTCATAGCATGTGTATTTTAGTTTCTTGTCTGTGACTGGTTCTATATCCGTCAGGCGTATTTGTAACCCAGACTGGATCGATGGAATTTTACAATAAACTAAACTAAACTAAACTAAGATTTTCACACTCAGTTTTGCCTGTGGATGCTTATTCATCATCAGATTCTTCATGACACACTGTTCAGTCATGAAGTACATTTCAATCAGGGTGGAATTAATAATACATGTAATTCCAATTTATGATCTGCCAATAGTACTTACAGGATCACTGAAAGCACCTCCAGACAATTCTAAGCAAATGTTTCACGTGGTCTGATTGACTCGTTAATTTTGGAAGACTGTCTAACTCCAGCTAACTATGTGCACTTACTAATAAATGGATTGGTGATGGAGACAAGGCTCAGAGTGTTCTGTCAGCATGATGGGAGTGCCTCCACATTTTCGTTTTGAAGTTATGGCTTATAAAAATCAATATTATAGGAATCAGGGTATTGGCCTTTCTGGTCCAGTAACTTGGCTATTGAAATCTCTGGACTTAACCATGCTTCGGTTCTTTTGTTAAATCTTATGAAACAGATGATCTAGAAGATCAAACTATAGGACTGGAATTATTGTGTCAAATTATGGATGTTGGTACTTATATAAAACAACACTCCAAAATTAAGCAATGTGCAGTAAAAGTTTTAAAACTGAGTAATACTATACATTGAAGACTGGTGGACTTTTTCTGATATTTAACTTCAGGTAAATCTTGCAAAATATACCAACAGATTCACCTAATTAATACACTAATTTATTTTCGTATGTCTGCACATAACACATTTATATCTCCTCAATGGCTAGAAACAGAACCAGTGCCATACTCATGATTTTTACTTGACATTATCTGACATTTCACCTGAAGTATTGCTGACTTGTCGTGAAACACACACGTTGAAAGAACATTCTTCAGTATCCTTTACTAATATTCTTTCTACTCCTGTAACCCCTTTTGTAGGCACCTGCTGCCTGTCTTCTCTAACCATTTAAATCTACTGTGACATCATTTTCTTATTGCAAAGAAGAAAAATTTTACTGATATGTGATCTCCAAGGCAGTTGCTTGGATGTGAATATGGTCTTCTTGGATGTAGCATGTGGAATTCTCTAGGTATACACCAATATTTTAGAGAAATATGTGTCCTCATCTACAGGGTCTTAAAAATTAAATTTTCCTAACATTTATTGATGACAACTTGTTAATATGGATATTACATTATTTCAAAGTGCTCAAGAGACTGCATTAAGAAAGCAATTTTATTGTAAGAGTCACATTTAGTGTTCTCATGTTATGAGCAATGATACAGCCAAGTTTTCCTTATCGCACTAACCCCCTTTCACAGTCTGTAGCAAATATTTAAATCAAGATCTGTCTCTTTCACTAGCATTGCTATTTGCTTACCATATTCACAGAGATAGCGGGAACTTCCGTCAGTGGGGGATGTAACTCAGAAGTCCTGTTCCCCATTTCTGACAAGAATTTCAGACCTTCAGCTCCACTAACACACTTCTTTATATTATCCACATCCAGGCCAGATCCACACTGAAATATTATGTACTATATTTCACATTCTTTTTTTAAATTCAATCTTTTGATGCTATGAACAACACATCTCACTCAAGTGCTGACCACTTATAAACTAATCATCTTATGTGTGTTATATTAGTCCTGTATGAGCCTTCAACAAAACTACTTGCATTATTTCACAAATGGCAATTCTATTGCCATGCGATCATAAAGAGAAAAGTTCTCTATACCACTCTCAACATTGAAAGGGTCAACATTTAATTTGTGCTACTTGAATTTGAATTTATTTACATTCCATAAATCCAAGCACTGGTAATAATATTTCAAGCTTTTAGATTAAAATGTACAGTAAGGCCAAATTATTTTAAGTAAAAAAATATTGCTTACTTCATCCACAGGATATGTTGCATTGGTGACTTGAGTGATATTCACTGTTGTCATGAGGCATGTTAAGTACTTAAAAATGTTCGTCTCATCATGAAACACATTTATAGCACATGCCTGAACAATGTTTCCATAACATTCTCTTGTCCCATGTTGACATTCAAAATGGTAGGTATTATTACTGTACCACTGCAAAAATATATACATTTATAAAACTATTTTTCTCATTAACAGAATGCATACAATTTATTCCAATATAAATTTCAGATTTCATTTCAGCAGTTTGTGAGTTTATGTGGTCATGCTATGTAATTTGGGTTGTCTGTATGTGAAAGTGATTATAGAGATCAAATTTGTCAAATGACAATTTCTAACAATTTTCTGATATTAATGATGATTGTTACCAATAATGTAATGTTCTCATATGTGATAACTAAACTGTTCTTAGAAACTTTATGACCACTGAATACTTGTAATACTCGTATTATTTGTACTGTGTAGCTGTGAAACAGTTTCACTCCAAGTCAATAAGCTTAAATTTGTGTACAATCTAAACTAATGGACATTTATCCATCCTATTTCAAACTTTCTCTGGTTACTATATGTACTTAAAACGTAACTGAAGGAGTACTATTTTCTGGGATGTGAAGCTGTTTAATCTGGTTTGTTGGTCGGTTGGTTGGTTGGCTTACCCTTTGACTCTGAAGATGGAAGCAATACATTCTTCTGAAATATTAGTAAATTTCTACCAGGTTAAATGGAATCACAGCTCAGAATATAATACTCTTCACAGTCACTGCAGTGAAAACCTCAAATCCAGCACAAATTTTGGGTTTCAAGTAAGAAGAAATTAATTTGGTCATTGTGGCGATTAGCTAGACTTTATTTTGGTCCATCAATCATGTCACGTGCGTTTATATAGCACACAATATCAGTTACAGATATTTTTAAACGTCTCATATAATATACATATATCATTAGTAAAGAAATTGAATAGCCTTAACCTGAATTATGCATTAAACATTCTAATTCTCCCTAATTCACAGGCCTCACCCATGATCAGTGAAAAGTCATGGCTGATGACTGTAGCATTATGCTTCTCATGAGAGAGAAATAGGGAAGTAGGAAGTCACACATTCTTAATGGACCTCTTTTGAGGTTTTAGGGGAATTCATCTATGACAGAACTGATAATAAAATTAAGGTAACCTATGGATCTCAGATTGTACCATACTTACTTGTCTGGCTTTTCCATATGGGACAAATTCAATGTTTAAATATTTTCCAAGAGCCCTGTATGTAGGATCCAGCTGATCCTTGAAAAATCTGATACTATCAGGGCATAGAGATTCATAATAGATGGTTATGGGTAACTTCTCATCTGAAGATGCACTGTGCATTTGGTGGTGTGTATGGTCATGACCTTCATGAGCCTACAAACAAGAAAAAGCAAAAATTCACAGTTATATTTATGAAATGTGAACATATACAATATATATTAGGAAAGAGGCTAGAGAATTTATTATAGTGGCCGTTGCAACTCCTCCCCGCGACTGCATCCGTTCTGCGGTGGTATGACTCACGGCAAATTGCAGCTGCGGCGCGCACTTGATTGTACGCACTGTACATGACAGAAAAAATGTTGGCAGTAAGCTACTATTCTGTTTTACATATTGGTACACATAAAGAACCAATCTATTTAAAATGCCATAAGCAGGTGAAAATAACCACAGGTTCAGTTTCTGGAAAATAAACCACAACATAATTCAGAACAAATTTTTTTGAAAGACATTGAAATAAGCTTAAAATAATGAATTTGACCCTATGCAGTACACCAAATTAGCCATGCTAATGGAAAGGAGAAATGGTGCACAGAAGTGAAAACAGTGATATACTATGAAAAGATACATGATCAAATAATTTGAGGTGAATTTATTTTTGTTGTTTATTTTATAATGTTCTGTTGTTGGGCGTTACCTAGCAACGACCGCTGTTTACAGAGTCAATGCTTAGTAATATTGAAAGATAATTCTTGGCATAATTTTCTCTTTCTTTATTTCTGCATTAGGATGTTCGCCTCAGGAGGCAATATATTTTCTTGCTGCTACACAGGAGTTTGTTCCGTGTATTTAATCGCCATAATCATAAGTAGAAATTGTAAATTATGTCACTTATTCATAAATTAATTCATTTTGCACTAGTACCTCTTCTCTTGATATGATCTACAGTGTCTTAGAAACGACTTAGATATATATATTTAGTGTCCATTGTTTATCTTCCATCAAAATTGCAACACAATGATAAACGATGGACACTAATTTGAACAATTGCAACAGGATGCTGAAATACAGAATCATAGATATATTTATTTAGCACTCAAATTCATGACATGTATTTCTTGCAATTTTTGAAAGGAGGGGAAAGAACTGATCTTCCATTTGATAAAATACGACACATTTCCCTTTTGAACAATAAGACTCCGACACACAAAACAAAAGCAGTTATCAGAAAAAATCTCTATGTCTGACACTGAAAAATTAATGTCTGACTTGAGATTGCGAAATTTTCTTTCTTGCTTCTGTCACGAAACTTCAAGAATCACACATTCCTAATTTTAAGTAATGCAAAAGAATCTGTCCCTTATTTTTTATGGGATACAGATAAATACAGAAGGATGGAGAAGATCAGTTGGACCAATTATGTGAGAAATGAAGAAGTGTTAATTAGAGTCAGTGAGCAGAGGAATATCCTACTAATCTAATTAGCTAATCTCATTACATATTTTTTGTGTAATTTTTTCTATTTCTTTGTATCTTACTTTTTCTCATTACTGACTGTGACATTTTATTGTTTTTGTACAATTATTAATTCATTTTCAATATGTACTTTTATTTTGGCTATCAATTTAAGACTCCTATAAGTAAGAAAGTTATATGGCAGAGTATCCTCACCCCTTTAAGAATTATATTCAAGAGAATTGTACATTCACTTTTTCTATTTAATAAATTGTAAGATTACAGTTAATGTGCTGAGTTGATAATATTCTAAAATTGACATTAAATAATTCAATTTGGGCCCAATTATTATACATACTCTTTTAATAAACCTCTGTTCACAATTGCTTACATGAACTACTCAATGAAGGCAGTGTAAATAATTTATTTCTGTGTTTCAGAGTTCCATGTCTATATGCAATGAAGTGGTGCATGATGGGAATACTGCAAGCTATACTACTGGTTGTAAACACTGCCAAGGTTAAGTGAATAGTCATTTATCATGCGATGGTGACACATCACGGATGAACAGAAGAAGGTGCAGAATGTTGCTTATTGAACTGTTTCTCGAAATAATGTCGTTTCCAGTATTTCAAAGGCAAATGACTGTAAACTGTTTTACTATACTGGTAGTCAGATTCTAGAGCCCATGAAATTTTTTAAAACCTCATTCAACACAGTATCCTGTAATGTGGTATAAGAAGTTTGCACATGTCCAGTCCAGTACATATTTCTTTACTGAACATAAATTTGAAACTGCTCAACAAACCAATGATATGATCTTGAAAATAATGGTGAATGAAGAACAGATAACAGAAGTCCTAACTTCAGGGTACAAAGCTTTAATAGAATTAATATGTAATAAGTCTGTTGCTGGATTTTGAAACTGAACCACCAGAAGAACCACAGTCAGGGATAATAAGAACTGTTAACCTTGGTTAGCCTATCCCAAAAACTCAAAATGTTTGTAACTGGGCTAATCTTCAAAAGAAACCTGAAATCCTGTCTGGGAACCCGATGAAGAAGAAACGCGAAAATTTGGATATGAAAAAAGAGGTTAGAGGAAAATGGTTGCTTAGAATGAGAAAAAAGAAAATAAAATTTGATCCAATTGGATGAGGCCGTGAAAAAGGAAAAACAATTACAAGAAAGTGAATTTGATAGGTACATTTTTTGATGATGACTCATATCATGAAGTTCAGTCATTGAAAATGCATATCTGAACTGCAGAAATTCTGGAAGAAATTGCGAGTTTTTGTACAAAAAAGAGATAGACAGAAGCAGCAAGTTTTGACATGCATGTATAATGTTCAGTGTAAACTATAATGTTTGTTCATCTAATTCAGTTGCTAGGCTTAGGTACTTACTTTGCTTAGGTACTGACATTTGTGTGGGTTAATTTGCATTTGGAAAATGGTGTGAGGTTACTCTCATACTTTATTTCACTTCCATAAATCCTATCAGGAGTTACAAACTCATGTGGATGTGGAGATCGTCTTGGTTACAAATTTGGCACAAGATACAACTTGTCGTACAAATATCATAAACATTCTAATACAATCCATTACAAGTAAATTACAAGNATGGCACAGGTATAAACAAAGAAAAGTCACATAAATATAGAACATTGTAAATGTTTCACATCAGCTGGAAAATAAATTTTCCTTTAAGTTCGCAGAATTCGCCCACTTTCCTCTATTACCCTCATCAGCAATTGGAGTCTCTAGCTTCAATATTTATCGAGATAAAGAAGATAACGCAAACCTCCATTTCAGCCGAAACGAGTTTTTTCGTATTATAAATATTTTTGAAGTATGAAAATATGTAGAAATAAGTGTACAAATTACTTTTTCTTTTTAAATGATCGAGCGACCTATCTGGATGACTTCACATGGAATGACCCATATGAACATGGCGGATGTCATGTATGAAACTTTTTTTACAGTTAAGATTTTATTTTGGCTTTGTGAACGCAGATTGGCACGTTAACGGAACATTTTACCATTCATTTGTAACCACTATTGCAGAGATCGAGTAAAATCGTACCTGGAAATGATGAAATGAAAATATTTGGGGGAGGGGGTAAAGATTCATATGAAGGTTATATTCCTGCTCTTGCACAGGAACTGAAGGAAATAACCAGTAAATTTGTCTTTACCAAGATGCAAATCAATTGTTCATACATCATACATCAGATGCAATGCTGCAAAGCTTATTTAACTACTGGATAACAACACTACTTTGAAAATATTTACTTTCAGATCTGTTTGATATCCATTTATTAAAAAAAACCTTTGCATATACTTAAGAGGTATGTACTTATTTATGGAAATTATTCGCACGTGTTTCATAAATAACTGAAAATTTAGTATTTCGACCCAAGTTNAACTATCTTCTGCTGTTGCTAGTGTACGGGGGAAACAAACACTATCTTCTGCCGTCACTTGGATACCAGGGGAAATCCAAACTATCTTGTGTTGCTGTTAGGATTTATGGTAGAATCCAAACTGAGAGAACCTTGTTCTGTTGCTGTGACACGGGGGAAAATCCAAACCGATTTCTATTGTTGACAGGATGCGGGGGAAAATCCTACGTGTCCCCTTCATTTGTTAGTTTAGGATGTGGGCCTTATACATATTGTTGGGAAATTGAGACTACTTTAGTTCAAAAGTTGCGCATCGGTAAGGCAACAAATTAATTAATTTTTTTTACATATTAATGCTTCTAGACCGAACATCCCCTAAACCGAAGACATTTAGTCAGAATTAATTTAACGTTGCAGCATATTTTATGAAGGAACAGATCCTAATGCACATACCAAACATGTTGGCTAGGACCGATGCTCTATGTAACCTTCATATAAATTTCATGTCGAAATTTATATGAAAAACTTCTTGAGTGATGTGTAAACTAAATGTTCCGTTCTTGTAGTCACGGAGTTCGTAGATAATGTTTGCCTTTTGGCAAGAAAAATAGAAACATTCTCCTTCCACTTAACCATCTCAGTGCCCCATTCTCGACCAGTTCCTTTAAGCCGTGTGTCCCGTGTCGTAGATTTACGGCACGTCCCTGGGAGATCTCTGAGCAAAATTAGGCAAAGTTTCCCGCCCAGGTAGTTTCCAATTCCTCCGGTAGATGGGAAAGTATCGGGGACCACTGCCAGAGAGGTGGCCGACCTCGCTGGCAGAATGGGGCTGATAGCGAGCACCAGTACCGGAAGGGCATGGCGACTGGTTGAATATTAAAGGGGGGCGTACAATAGACTATTAGTCGCGGTGCATAGGGAACCCCACCCCCTCCAATAATGATAATAATAATAATAATAATAATAACTCACAATTCAAGCCTGAAAGCTCAGGCTTTTTGAGCAGCAGGCTCCTGACAGTCATTGCCCTTCACGCCCCTCATAAGGGTGCTGAATGACTGAAAAACTCTCGCCATTAAAGTCCCTCCCGGAGGGCTCGTTCCCTGAATTTTTCCGCCCTTAAAAATTCCAAGACCTCCACCGGGTTTGAACCCGCGTACCTTGAGTCATGAGGTGGGAACGTTACCCCTAGACTACGGAGTTTGTGAATTTGTTGAGAGCCTGCTGTCTGTGCTCCTCTGCGACCGTTTTTGTATGTAATCCTTATAGAACCGGACCACTGGTTTCTTGCGCA